GAATGTTCCTATTCCTTGGAAACCATCGGCCTGTAAATGTCCTTGCTAGGCTTTCAGGAATATTTCAAGTAGTAATCAAGGACCGCATTTTGGAAGGTATTCTAGGTGTCTAAAGTAACAAGCAGTGATGCAGAGGGAGAGGGTGAAGTCCCTAAAGGGGTGTAATTGCCTGACAAGGCAGAGGAACGTCTCCTCTGCTGTAGAGACGGTTGAAAGTGCCTCCCACCCGCTGTCTCACTGCCCTTGACGCGGTTTGAAATCGATGGAATTATGTGCCGGAACTGCTCTAGGGGCCTTAAAAAAAAAAAAAAAAAAATCCCTCTGGGTATCTAGTTACATCTTCAGGGATTTAAACTCCGTGGATGACTTCATACTGCACTTCTTGTTTTCTCGCTGTAGGTGGAAGCTCAGGGGGTTTGTCTCATGTAGATGACTGGAATTTCTTCTGTGTTTCTTTTTTTCCCCAGCCCTTTTCTTCTCCCTGTGCATGAGAGCGGGTAACCAGGGAGCCGATTGCTCTCTCAAACTGTACTAACACCCAACAGCCTCTGGATGATGACAGAGAATTCCTGCAGTCCTTGGGAATTCAAGCCCCAGCCTTTTCCACAGCTTTGAGCTATGCCAATGGTTAAACCTTCAGATCAACCACATTTGGTTTTGGTTCTCGCGCCTTGGCTTGCTTTTTGGTTTGTTTCCAGTTTTTTTTTGTTTTTTTTCCCACCCCCCCCCCCCTCCACTTTTGTATCTAATTGGCTTTCCTACTTCTTAACCTTCTTTACCAAACACTTACCAACTTTATTTCACCTTGTAAATGAAACTCCTGCTTCTAAACCCTGTCTCTGAAAACATAAAGATGTCCTAACACTTCTTAGCGATTCTAACCAGCCTTCTCTGCTATCTTTGCTTCTTTTCCTTTTTTGCTCTTTCTCCTTTGTGCTGCAGAAGATACTAACCTGATATCAGGCTTTGATGCTCCTGAGGGCTCTGAAAAAGTGACAGAAGATGAGTTTGACCCAATCCCAGTGTTGATATCCAAAAATTCACAAGGTAAGCCAGGATTTGGGGGTGAAAAAGGGACGGAAAAAAGGAAATCAATGAATGTAAATTAGTTCTGGGGCAGTGGTGCTGCAGCACATGAAGTCATACAAACCGTAAACTGTACGATACTGTCACCGTAGTAGTTAGTGAGCTTAGTCTTTCTCTGATTTACATTGGCCTTGAAATTTCTCTAGATTCTCTGGTTTTGAGAAGATTGCATGGCCAAAAAGACAAGACGTGCAAACATCTTTAGGGCCCGTGAAGTCACTTCTAGCAGTCTGCCAGGCACACAAATACTTCGGTGGCTGAAGTGCGGTGGAGAGCTGTGTTCTCCCACGTTCCTGGTTACCCTTCAAGCCAACAGAGGGAGGTCCTCTGGCTTTTAAGACACAAGAAAGGGCGGTGATGATAATCCTTTATAAATCTGAAACTCCTGCTGGAAGTGAGGATTTTTCACTTCACTTGGTAGATGGTACCCTCCTTCTTCGAAGAGCTTGGAGCAGTCAGAGGACAGAGGCCGGAAAGTTTCTCCTTTTACAGCATTCCTGTCCCCTAGGTCACATTAACGTGATCTGTGCAAACGGTTTCAGTCTTATGTAGGGTTAAGTCCAAGAAGCAGCACTATTTCCTTAAATCACGGCGCTGCGTTTTGTAGCTCTTGGAGGGACAGAAGGAAGGCAGCGTTTTGCAGTCTGGTCAGTCAAATAGATCTTCTCTCTGCAATCAGCCGATGAAAGGTTTTGATTACAGTTTTTGATACGTTAAAAACATACTCCAGGGCTCCCCCATTTTTTTGGTGGTGTGTTTTTTTTTTTTTTTTAGTTTGATGGCAGAACTTTGAATTCCAGCTCCCACTGTTGTTTACAGCAGGAGTGTGCGGTACATCTGCATCAAATGCATCAAAGACCGACACTCATTAGAAAAAGTTCTCAGACATTAAAACTCTGCTTAAGTTAGAGGAGATTTCTACCAAAGTTGGGCCAAGATAGGCTACCTTGACTAAAGAGGAGCATCTTTCCTTCAGTATCAAAGCACCAGGTGTAGAAAGGCTCATGATGGCTCAGCTCTCCTTGAAGTAGCTGGCAACTCCAAGATGCTCTTAGAAGAGCAACCAATTGTCAAGGTTTAAAACTCTGAACAGTCCTGTCTATGGCTTGTGGGAGTTCTTGTAATTGCTTTGTAGATATTTTGTGATATCTGTCCATGCAAGGCAGGTTTGGGGGGTGGGGAGAGGGTGGAGGAGCAAGCAGGGGAATGTTGTTGCTATCGTAATGCAAGTAATGAGAAGAGCTTGAGCAAATTTTCTGGTTTGCTTTGACTTTTTCTGTTCTTGCTTGCTTGCTGTTGAACATCTGCAACTGTCGTGCGTGTGTGTCCTGTTCAATACTGAATTCCTATCTCTCACACTTTCAGGTGGGCATTCTAGAAACAACAGTGGAAGCTCTGAGTCCAGTCTTCCCAACATAGCCAGGTCTTTACTGCTGGTGGATCAGCTCATAGACCTGTAGCAGTGACACAGTAGCAGACGCAGTTTCTGTAACGTACCTAATCCTCTGTTTTCATTTCCAGAAGAGTTACTTTCCATTGTGATTCTTTTGGGCTTTTGGTTTTTTTTCCCCCTCTTTAATTAAAAGAAAAAACTAAATCTGCCAACAGGAGACACTTTCCATTGTGATTCTTTTGGGCTTTTGTTTTTTTTTCCCCCTCTTTAATTAAAAAACTAAATCTGCCAAGAGGAGACAGTCACCCACCTCTCTCCCCGTCTTCCCATGCCCTGGGAAGGGTTTTGTCTGGGTTCTCCAGGTAGTCCTCTCTAAAGCTGGTAAAAAAAAAAACCCCGTTGGGGTTCCTTCTGCACCTGTCTGTGCTAGCCTGTGTCTAAAGGGAGCACCGTCCTTAGCTGCACCGCTGAGATGTACGCATAGCACCGTGGAAAGCCTAAACTGTACCTGAATTAGGTAAAAGCGTAGCTGACGTGTGATCCCTGCGTCCAACAGACTCCTCTCTCCTTAGAGTAGCGTGTGAACAGCTGTGTTTCAACCTTTGCATTTGCGTTTTGGGGTTTGGCTTTGGTTCTGTGGATGGGCAGGAGGGATGGGGACAGGTGACATCGGTAGGGATGTCCCTCTCCTGCAGAATCCGGGTTAGGAGAGCTGATGTCTCGAAATGGCCAGGATATGCTTCAGGGGAGGAGAAAGCACCGAACCCCTCTGAAGGAGTAGCCTTGCCTAGTCCCTGGGGTGATGGTGCGTCCGAAGAGTTGTCCGGACTGTCCCCAGCTCACGGTTTGCTGCTTCACAATCCTGCCTGTGAATGAACTGCGCTTCCTTGGGGGAGGGGAAAAAAAACCACAAAACCAATTGTTAAAGCTGCAAGAATGACCCTAAGCGAAATATAACAAGGTTTTGAACCAAATTCATGTGAGTATGGCTGTGACTAGCATTTTGTTGACCTTTTGGGGATGAAAAGGGCATTGTGGCAGCAGCAGATGTATTTTCTGTGACTTCTTTTCTGTGTTTGACTGGGAAAAAAAATAATCCTCCCATCCTACTGTAAATTGTGTATGAAACAAATTGTCCTACGGTTGTTTGTCTATTTTTAATCCTGGTTTTAGTCAAGCATCTGGTATCTGTTCTGGGTTCCTCGTTTTCTCTTGTAACTGCATATAGTGCCAACCAGTTCAGTACGGAGCCGTTTGTTTCAGTAGACAAAGATCCCGTGGACTTTACTCCACTCCTCAGTCTTTGTGGAACAAGCATGCACTTGGTTCAGGCGGTTTGAAATAAGTGCTGCTGCAACGTGATGGGTTCTACCTTTTCTTTTTTTCCCTTCACATGCTTAGTTTGTCATCTAGCTGGATACGCTAATCTTGTTTTCACTGGCTTATGGTCATGAAGTCCAGAATTTCTATCCTGTATCTGAAAGCTCTTTCTGAACAGAAGGACTCTTCCTCCGTAGTGGAATTAATTAATAGCTTCCTGCTAACCTCGTGTACGTGTATGTAGCTGTATTAGTAAAGTGCAGTTTCCCATGTGCGAAAGTACGAACGACTGAACTATGTGTGTACTGACCTCTCGCTAAGAAGGAAAGAAATCAAAGTTCGTGACGACTCCTTTCCTCTCTCCGGTCTCTCCGCTGTTCCCCCACCCTGACACTTAGTTGAACAAATCCTGTAAATAGAACTGCCGTCGATTGTGTCTGCTCTACATTACTCTTCTTTTAAAACCTACACTTAATAATAAAAGTATTGCTTAAGTGTGTTGTATCATTACATGTGTATACTGCACTTTCCAAGAGAAGCTTTACATGAGAACTATGGAAATGACCTTAGTAAAATTGTGGATAGAAACTTTATTATTTTTTGTTTTATATTCCTAAAGCACAGGCAAGCTGGACTGGAAAACATGAAGACACTATAGATAGAAAGTTATTGTATAGTCAGATTACTGAGATTATATGAAAAGAGAATGGATTTTAAAAAGTAACCATCTACTGTATATTAGAAACAAAGATTTCTGTGAATTAAAGTACTTTTAAAGAATGTTTAAGATTTTAAATCTAATGGCACTTGTTCAAGGGTTCTGGAAAAAAATATAAATGCACTGGGTTGTTAATAATGCTATTAAATAAGCAGATGTGAATGGTTTTTTTTTTTTTATTGCTTTTTCAAGTAGCTGCTCATGGAGCTGGGGGAAATACGGTGCAGCGGAGAGATGTCTGTTCTCTGACCTCCCTCCTGACAAAGTGCTCGCCACTTCTTTGCGAGATGAAGGGGAAATGCAAGAGCGATGAAACGAGTGGAAAGCTGGGGTTAATCTTAAGCTCTCCCCAAACTGTAACTATCCTCCGGGTGTTAGGTTAGTGGTGGTATGCTGCTCAAACCTTGGGTTTGTGTGAAAGCTGCTGCTGCTGCGAAGGAGCAAATGGAGCTTTCATCCCCTGGGAGAGGTTGGGTACCCAGCCTTCCTGCGAGGGCAGGGGAATGATCCTCCTACAGCTCTGCTTGGAGCCTTGTTTGAAGCTGTTCCTGTCCCCTTTTGAGGTTCCTAGGGTTGGGTGTTGTTAAATAACCAAACACAAACCTAGCTGGCAAAACCCCAGCCGGGTGATTCTCCTCTCTGCCCTGCGTTTGTTCAGGGCAGGAGGAGAGGAGCCTTTTGTCCTCCCCGGCTGGAGCCTGCAGCGGTGTTTTTGGCATTAACTAGTTCCTGGATCCTCCTGATAGGATACTACACACGCAGCCACAGCCCACGGCGTGATTTCCTTTCAAGGCTGTGCTTTGGATGCAAGAATCAACTCTGGGTTTGGGGTGGCAAGACGTTCCAAGGAGTAGTTGGAAATGAGATCTTGGTTCTCGCTTACTTGGAGGGGGCTGGGGTGTTGAACTGGCAATCTCCCCAGTTCATCTTTTACCTGGCTAACCCCCAATTCAGAGATCAGCAGATTGGTGGTGTTCCTGACAATAGCCGCTGTGGTGGGAGCATCTGTCCCAAAACCAGCAGGTGCTGCAGCCTCCCACATCCTGGCTGTCCAGGTCTCTGGGCTTCCCTGGGACTTGGGGCTGCAAGCACTGTGCAACCTGCTGGAGACATCAGAGATGGGTGGAAGAGTCTGAGCACCGGGGGCTTTTTGGCAGACCACCTGCATCCTATTACAGCCCATTTACCCCAAGCAGACAGCTTGAGTGAATCTCTGCAGAGCAAAATTATTTTTAGAGGGGGCTTCTTGTGAAGGAGTGATGGTGGCATTCTCCAGCCTGAGAGCTCGCAGGACACGGCCTCCAGTGACGTACCAAAACTACCATATTAAAAAAAGATTTTAAAAATCTGTTGTTAAAATGAAAGTTCTGATGCGATTGAGGCCAAAGACAGAGTTCAAGTTTTGGGGTGTCCAAACAGCCCCAAAAAGTGGAGCACGGGGACCTCTGAGTACGGAAAATGTCATCGAGCGCGTGGCGTGCTGCAGTGGCATCTGACGCCTGTGCGTGTCTGGATGGAGTAAGTTATTTT